TAAATCCTGTTTTGGCTATGAAATGTTAAGAACAGGGGAGCAAATCTTCCCTATGAGCTTGGAGAGCTGTGATTCGAACACAGAGGCAGTATCACCATCCCATCCTACCATTCTGCTGGTTCATTGTGTTCTTAAGTGGACCGAAACTCTCATTAATTCTTCATTTTTTCTTAATTGCTAGTAGCATAACGGAGGCGCGCTTCTTCCTACCACCCGAAAATTCACCTGTAGCAATGCTCACTGGTCTCCTTGTACTATGCAGTCAAGTTCCACTTGGATTTACTTCGCAAATTTTTGGTCAAAAATGTCTTTTTTTGTTATGCTTTCATAACGTGGTTATGCAGAAGGAATAAGTGCTTTGAAAGCATTGTCTTCTTCCTTCAACTTGAAAAGTGACATTCATTTACCTCCAAATACGCTAAAACAGAGTCTTTTCGTGTGTATACTACGAAGTCTGTCTGATTACTATGTGAATAGCGTAGCTGACTGTATCAAGTGAACCTTTCTTCGTAATTCTGGCAATTTGTAGGGTGAAATTATGGCACAGCAACTGCATGCTGTGTAAACAAGGCTTTGATTTACTTGTCGTTGTAAACACAATCCATGTTTTAATGCGAATCCTGTCCAAATGCTAAGGTTTGTGCTTTTCTCAAGGACGACAGAAGACTGTAGCACCTCAAATAGACTTACCGAACTAATCACAACCCCCCAAATTCTACTTCGTAATTAATGCGTGCGTGACGCAGTAGCACGGAAAACAGGATGGAATGAGCATCCCAAAGTCAAGCACAGAGATCGTGTCAACTGGTTAACATTATGCATAGCTAGGTGAGAGTTTAAAGTCGTCCGCTTAGATCACCACATAGCTGTTTACTTGGGTGCAAGGACTTACAGCCACCAGAAGCATCAGCAACAGCTTGGCTCATGCCCATGGGATTCGTTTGCGCGTCTGTAAATCCATTTGTCAACTTCCCCTACCTTTGAGCTATCCTTCCGCGGTCATCAGGTGACTTGGGAATCCACGACATCCATCGCAGGGGCTGCAACTCAGAAGAGAAAATTCCCTTCAAAAAATAAAATAGGAAAGGTGAACAATTATTTCACTAAAAGGTGGACTCCCCTTCGGTAGACCACCTCTGAATCGTCTTTCTAGATGATCACTTTGACAGCCATCGTCAAGATCTGTGGTCAACAGAGCTCTTAGAGTCATGCATAAGTGGCTGACGATGCTGATATTATTTCCAGAACTGATGCCTGCATTGTCAGTGATGTTCGAAAAATGGAAGGTCATGTGCAGGTAGGTAAATTTATTTGGACAAGACGAGTGAAAGAGAAGTCGATAGAAATCGTGAAGCACATAGAGTCCTGGTATTTCTGGACCCCTTACCACATTTGGCGTGACAGACTCAGTACATCAAAATAACGCTTTCCATGTTCTGTTGGGCATATTCTTTTTTATGAGAATATCCGATTCACGCTATCTCAAAAAGAGAAGAAGCAGGCAGATGGATGGAGAGATAAGGAGGTTCCTGGGATAACATGAGGGAATGAAGTACCTAATGTCGGAGAATTTTTAATTGGGTGTTCTTTACTGCTTTGTTTCCTTAATTCCATGGACGTAAAAATTATTGAAAATGGAAAAAAACCCCTGCGAAATAGGCATAGTTGCAGTTAAAACGATTTTTATCAGGGTCCGAAAAGGGAGTAGTATAACACCAACAACAAGCAATCATCTAAAACCAAATCTAGCCATGGATGAATGGATGGATACGGGACTAAATGCAGAGCCGAAAGGTTAATGCCGATTCTTCAACCCTAACCTTAGACTTCTGCAATTTTGATGTCTATCTCACGCCACCTCTTCAGTAATTGATGGAACCACCCATAAAATTCTTAAACATTATTTTGCAAATTCGGCTTGTGTATGTAAGGTGAATGGCACTAGCGACAACCCCTCAGAAAAAGCGTTAACCTTGTTGTCCTCACGTATATTAACAGTGGCGATAACCTCTCCCCTTAGGAATGTACTAAACTGTAAAGTGCCTCTCCAGGACAACTACCAAAAATGGTGGCTCTTACGCATCAATGTCAGCAGGCTCAAGCGTGCGCACACCACCCAAAGTTGATTTGCATTGCCGCCTCACTCATTAACCTGTCACCGTCGGCACAGTGGATGGTGCATTGACTATTTCCACCCACGACAGCAGGGAATGTTCTCGTGGAAGTGTTAAGTCATAAAAAGCAGTAGCAATCTCCTTTGGGAAGGAGGTCTATTCCTATTTCCCATTCTGTTCAAAGTTACCTTCTCTTTCTGGTTGGAGATAAAGCATCCCAAACACGTGTGCCAAACTCTGCAGCCCTTAAACCCCGAAAGCTACCAGCATCAATGACAAGAGTATGTACATTCTGGAGCATTGAATGGCCCATAATATCGGACCATAAAATTACGAGCATTTTCCAGTATTTGAGGAAAATCTTGAGGACCCTTTTATTGTCATTTCAAACGTTGGACAGCGTGTACATCGGCGCAACAGCCTTTAAAGGAAATAGCAGCAGAAAAAAAGCAGAGGACCAGAGGAAAGCTACTTGCCATTCACGATAGTCGTTTGAGTAGCTGCGATTGTTAACTTTGGCAAGAATCGAATAGCACTAATAGGATTAAGGTGTGTGTAAATTCACACGCGGAAACTCCCACAGGTAGTTCTACCTTCGACATCCATTAGGCTCCTCATCCACTGACACTTCTTTTTAAAAAAATGACTAAGGTGATGGAGAGCACGCATATTGCGGTTGCGATTTTGTCGACGATTGGATGAAGGAGAGTGAGCTGGGAGGAATCGTCCTGTTGCTGCAATCGTCAAGAATTGTCAAAGCCTGATGACTTCATGACCTGAGATAGGCAATGCTGTAAGAATTCCAACTCTATAGAAGTCCAGAATACCCAACTCCTTCCGTTTCTTTCTCACCATTACCCACAATTTCGAATGTGGATGCCTAGTACCGAAACAGGTAACGATCATCACATAGGGGAAGACAAAGGATAGCGAGTAGGCTGAAGAAGATGCAGCATTTCTCTCCCATCTCAAAGTGAGGCAAATGAGGTTTCGTACACCTTCCAATTTTAATCACCTAGTTTGCATAATGAACAGATCTAAACCCCAAAATCACCAGCGGAAAGAAATCAAGCACATTTTTCTATGCAATTCCGGGGTATGGGCTATAGAGGTGAGAAAGTGCGCGAGCCATTTAGCAGCAACCGATGGTAGGCGAAAACCACTTCTCACAAGGCTAATAGGCTCGAATTTCCTTTAGCGGATGGAGGAAAGAACACTGACAACACACTTACCGAGGCGTTGTAGTGAGTATATATTATCACCACAACCTCACCCCTAGACTCTGTGTCAGGCTAGCGTCTGCCCACAAGGCTAGACACCGGCCTACCTCCCCCTCTCCCTCATTAAGGCGGTTCACCACATCAAAGGAAGCACAATTTACTAAACCCTCTGCATTAACGGCTTTTGTTTACTCTGACAGCAACAATTACCTACCAGGCTGCAACTGGAACAGCTCAGTTTAAATTTACTCCACTGCGTTATTTGTGGATTCAAATGTTTATGTTCCCACAGGTGGGTATCTCCTTCACCAATCTGCTCCAGCGCAAGGTTTTTATCACTATTGCTAAGGCGTTCCCAGGCTATGGCGATGGTGATGCTGTGCGCAGAAGTGACTCGCGTCGTATCACAGTAATTAGTTATTTTAAGAGCCTTCTAGTCACTCAATGATTACACATGTAGGTGAGCTGCACACGAATAAAAATGGTGGTAATTAGGCAAGGACTCGTTCATATAACTGATAGGTGTCAAATGATGATTCATCAACTGCATTTCTGATGAATGTCAGGGATCAGCAAAATCGAAGGACCTACATCCGCAGTCCGAATCCCTCGACAAATTTCGCCAAATAGTTCATTCGTTGAAATGGATCCACCTTACTTCCCGAATAAGTGAGTCTCTCGTTTTAGAGTACCTTAGCGCATCCACATGAGAGCAGTCCGCTTTCAAGTGTCCATTTGCACCCCCTTTCTGATTTGATTTTTCCACCACGTGGCAATGACTTGTTGAAGCCTGAAAGAAACTGTACAGGACATGCTGTGTCACAGGTATGTGTCAGCCTTACTCCATTTTCTTTCTCTTCTCAATTAAGCCTGGTGGGTGTAGATGCGTTGTAAGGAATCACAGAGAGAATTGTTCATTTGTTGAAGGGGAGGAAATCTCGAAAAGATGTGTCTACTTTACAGGATACAGAGATGTAATTGGGATGTGGACAAGACCAATTATTTTCAAGGGAACACTTGACACCAAACAAGTAGTGGAAGGAAAATTTTATCCTTATACTTACCACACAACCAGTACAAGCACAAAACGCATCCCTGAAGAGACCATATAGCGCAAGTCAGGGTGGGTTCAAAGGTAGATGAGATGGAGAGGAAGGAAGGGAGAGAAGGAGGGAGTCATCACCTTATTCCTATCCTCCGCATTGTATTCCCTTGTAAGTGATGAGTATCACATGAAACCCGTGTGGCGTGATTGGCAAACAAGTGTAAAGTAGAATAGAAGGTGGGTGAGTAGGTGATAGGCATATGGGTAGCGCTAGATTGTTCGCTTCTAAGACGGCAGTTTCAACTTCTTTGTTGATTGGAAAAGCAAAGGTCGATTAAAATCCACTGAATACAAAACTCCTCCTGTGCTGTAAAATTGGTTAAAATGGTGAGTTAAGGCTTTCTTACTAGATTATTCCTCCTTTCCCTCCTCCCCCCCTTCCTCCTAAAAAATGATTTCAACTTCTTCACAAGTGAATGCAAGTACGTAGTATATTCATGATTTACCACGGCCTGTGCTCCTCCTGCCAATGCGTTAGGAATGGACCGAAAACCTTACTTCAAAAGGCTGCATTTGATGGCGTTGTCAGATGGTCGCATTCTTGCTCGCCTTTCCTAAGCCATGTATTCATTCCAACACATCTCTGCAGAACACTTCATTCACACAATATGGTGGCCTTCCTCATCTTCTGGCTGTTTAAAGTGTGAAGCTTGGGGCTTTCTTAGTCATCTTCACATTTGTGTGGCTGTGAAAAATCCATTGATATGTTTTGACAGGGTTGTTCTTTCGGAGCATCTTACTTCACTAACCACCAACCAACCACCAGTCCAGGCATAAGGTACTTTCCACAACAAATCCCGCATTTTCAAACTTGTGCTGAATTCAGAGTGGACAAGAGGACCTAGAAAAACGAAAGCACTTTTCTCGCAATCTCTTTAAGCAATTGATTCAATTTAATTGGATGTCATTTGGAAAAACTATGGTCTGCCTTCACTACCACTCTCTTGTATCCGTCTCCGCCCGCCTACTCATCCACCCACTCACTTACACGTCATTCTGTCAATTTGGTAGCTGCCCCCTCTTTCTCATTTCGCGAGCACTTCACCAACTTAATGATGCTAAAGTAGCACTGAATTTCATCATCTGCATCTTTGCACTAAATAAAGAGCTTTACGTAAATGTGTATTTTGTACTCTGTGATTGGCTTACAAATCACTTTGGTGCACGAAAATTACGTCTCCAATACCGGCCCCACTTCTTCCCCTTACTAGTCGGCTTGTGCTGTTTAAAATTCACTGTTATTTTTGATTGTATTCAGCTCACTAGTAGGATGTTGAAGATAATTTTACTACCTTAACTCGTTGCAATTCCAACGCGAAAGCCACGCTTCCTGAGACCAAGAGACTGCAAGAAAGCCTCCAATAATTTTGCACCTTCTTAAACTCCAAGTGACCTCTGACAGACCATCGAAATGCGACTTCATGGGGAACCATTTTTATGAGGTAGGTAGGCAGGAAGGAGCAGCAGATGTTCAAAGCGCAACACTCCCGCCTTAAAGACTGTTTACACCTCACCACCGCGAATGAGTCCCCCATCCTCAAGCCAATCACATTCAACCAACTAAAGAAATGGCAAATGAGAGATAAAAGAAAATTGCCAAATTTTATCACTACATTTTTTCTTTTGGGGTTCTTAAATTATTAAGTAGGTGAGCTGCTGAAGGAACAAAAGTTATACGTGCTCGCTTTAATTGCTCCGCCTTTTCCGCAAAAAGATTTCAGACTGCATTTGAACATCCCTTCAATCTGCCACGCCCCTTGAAAATTAGGCGGCAAATAAATACGGCGATTGTCTACGTAATTAGGCTTTTTCCAGCCACAAGGATCAAATAGAAATGGGCTAATTTAAATGTAAAAGTATCGTCTGCGTTTATTTATAAAGGAGCGGTCCTCAAGTCCATTACACGCCTGGTAAAAAAATAATGTCAATGGAATTCAGTTCGCAGTTGTTTAGGCGTCTGTATGCCCTTTTAGGGGGCAAGCGGTTTGGTCTACACCGATTTTGAGTCTCATTGAATGCCACTGGTACCCAAAAAGGACAGCAACACTGATCTCCTCAGTAAAACTTTCCCTAATTGCAAACTAACTATACTACACATGGTACTACGACTTCGTCTGGCTAATGGCCTCGAATAAAGGGTCTAAAACCTAAGGTGGAAGAGGGAAACAACCAAAATATTGCACTCATACATGACTAAACTGACAGCTTAGTAACAGGTATGGATTCAAGTCATTTGAAAACTGCATAGAGTATAGGGAATCAGTATTTACCTTTACAACCGACATAAAGTAAGAGTGAGAAGATGAATGCGCCCACATATGTACTGTCCAAGAGGTCAAATAGGCGAGAGGTGAAATAAAGCAAATACATTGGGTTCTGTGACCAGAGTTCCAATGTTCCATCAGACCGACGCTTTGAAA